AAAACTGGATCGAATAAAGAAACTTTAAAGAATTTCTTAGCTGAAATTTCAGGTCTAATATTTGCATATTGACCATCAAACTGGTTAGAATATCGTGGTAATCCATCCGGTCCCTCTTCAATAGCATTTAATTCTGCATTGAAATAAGAATATGGATTATGACGGTATGAATTAATTGGACCATGTTCACCTTCTCCAATGTATTGTTTAACAGCTTTTCCATTTTCATCAAATTGCATAGGATAATGAACATTATATGCTTTACGTTTAGGATAATCAGACATAGTTAATTTATAACCATTTATGACTTTAATATTTCCTTGACCATCAGTAACGAAAACTTCATTTATACCATCAGGTTTTCCATTTGGACCCGTAATGTCTGCTTCATGTGCTTCCCAATTTGGACCATGACGTTTGGCATATGCTTGAGCTTCTGGTAATGTTAAAACGTTTCTCATTTGTTTAACATCTTTTTGAAGACCAGCAACAATATGAACTAATTCTTTCATTCCATCAGGAACTTTCATGGTCTATTATATGCACCCTTTTTGTTTGTCCCTTGTTTAATGGAACCTGTAGAAGATTTGCTATTTCTGTCATGTTTAATTAATAAATAAAAAATAAAAATTAATTATAAAAAGTTAATCAAATTTAACACCTCCTTTATTTAAATCAACTATTATTTTTCCATGTTCACCTAATTGCTGATATTGTGTAAAGTTCATTAATGCTCATTGGTAAATTCACTTGATAAAGCATAACGTTCAACTGTTGACGACTAAAACCACTGAAAATGAAAAGGGTTGATAGATTTGATTTAATGCTTGTGCTTAATGCTTTGAAGTATTGAACAGCCATGAAGAATGAACACTGAATGTGTCGACATTGAGTTAATAATTGATTAAAATATGATTTCTCATTTGTTATTAGTTTTGATTTCACCGCATCATCTATAAAAATGAGTGAATGCAAAAATTCTCTATCAAAATTTGAAATATAAAGTGTTTCAAATAATTCATCCCGTTGTTTATCAATAATTTTATCCTCTAATCCTTGCTTCTTGATTGTATTATATAATTCTTTATACATTAAAAGTTTTTTAAATAATCTTCTGCTTCTTCTTGTGATAAATAAATAATTGGAATTTTGATTAAATGCTTTAAAGATTCAAATGTATCATCTGAAGGTGAACCTGAACGGCTGATATAAATTAACACATGTGAATGGGGGGAAGTGTTAGCAATAATGATAATTTGTTTTAATATCGTTAATGTTTTGCCTTTATTTTGTTTACCAATTGCTGCAGTGATTGAATTTAAGTAACCTCAGAATATGGATTTCATTAATTTTTCCTTAGATAGAGCATTTCTATTATCACTCAATGCTTCATTAATCATATCATCTACGTATGTATTATATACTCCTGCTAATTCTTCATAAGGGGGGATGAATTTAAATCCATTTAATCAAAAATAAATTTATAATTTAACATTTCTATTCATCAATATTTCATCATATGAACTTCTATACTGTGGTGGTGTACCTGTTGGAATATTTCAAACCTTCATCCGGTGTCCATTCCAATATGTAGTCCTAGTAAACCAAACCTGAGGAGGATTTGTCACCTTTGAACAGTAAGTGTCATTTACACCTGAATGATTGGATAAGCTTTCACTGTACTGTGTAACTGTGAGTTGAAAGTTTTAATCCATCAAAGAATATACCCGCTCCATCACGTTGAACTGGAATAGTGCATAAGAAATGAAGTTTGGTCTTTCCATGTTCTAGCTAATGGCGCGCCATCATCATCATTCAGTGGTCTAGTTAATGAGTCCTCGTATTCTTCCGTGCATTCATTCACTCCATCTAAATCAGAAGCTTGAAGCATACGTGTAAAGAATATATCACCCACTGTGGTCATCGCTTGATCGGGAAGTTTCTGGAATCTATAGTGACCTGAAGACCTCGAAGCATTGGATTTCTAAAACTGTTCTTTGCATTGCATTCTTTGGAAATGTTAACACAACATCTGTAACATTATGAAGAGCGTATGAGAAATCTGAGCTAATACCTTCAGGAGTGATGCAACCTCCATTTAGTGAACGAACGTCAATATGTTGAGCTGGAATCATGAATGGATCTTCCTTACTGAATAAACGTGGTATTGCTTTAACTGATTCTTCAATTAAACCGTATCCTGGTGTAATGCATTTATCCTCTAAAACTTCCATCTTTGTGCATGAAATAATAACGTCTTCAACTGTTGCGTCAGCAGTTGTAGCGGCTAAGTTTGTAATTAATTTAGCAGGAAGTCCGATTTGTTGGAATTTGCGATCATATTTATAAACATGATTCATAATCTTTTCATAATTTTCATCAGTTATCTTTTCATAAACGTAATTTTGTAAATCAGCAACTCTTAACGGGTCAACCTGACAAAATACTAATATCCCTGAAAACATAATATTTAAGAATGATATCACCAAATGATTTAGGATAATCATCAAACGCCTGAAATGCTAACAATCATTTACCGGAATAATCATATCAAAAGTGACATCAACTTCTTCATTTGCTTTCTTGAAAACTTTGAAGGGTCAATATATTTACCACATACTGAGTTTATCATATTTTTGAACATTATTATATAACGAATGAACAAACTTTTTAAACTTTCCTTTCTGATTTTGGTTTATATGTTGCAAATGCGAAAGATTCACGGCGCAATCCATTTGAAGATAACCGGCATCACCTCTTTCGGTTTCTACTTCTAATTGTTTAAAGCTTTGATTTGATGATTTGTAACCAACGAATAAACGCATGCATTTAAAAGCGGCATCACATGTGAAAGCTTTATTTGAAACTAGAGTTGCTTTAACTTTGCGTTTAATATATGTGTCACCTAATTGGTTCACATCATGAGCCGGATTTGTAATTCTTAAATGAGTTTGTTTATCATCAAAATATGGAGCATCAGAGTCATAGCATGAACTTTCAAGTTCTATAATATCTTCTACCGTCATTCTTTGCGAATATTTCATTTATCTTTTCGAATGAATGAATACATTTCCATTAATCGGTTTAGTGTTTGGCACCAAATAGTTAGTCGTCATTTATTAATAAATAAAAAATCAAAATTAAAAGATGAAATGAATTTTTAATTTTAATGAAATAATCAACTATGGCTGCAGGATTCTTTAAAAAGTTATGGGATAAAGTAAAAAGAGGAGCGCATAAAGTTTGGGAAACAATGAAGAAGGGAGCAAATTGGATATTTAAGAATAAAGAAGCAATTAGTGACGTTGCAGAACAAATAGCACCTAATGTTCGGTAAGGGAAGTATTAAATAAAGGAGATAAAGTTTATCGTCGACTACAACCGATATTGAGATAAATAATAATATTTTTTTTCCACTACTTTCCTCCTATTTTATTAGTATTCCTTCAGCAATTCCACCAACTGCGTTACCTGCTTGTGCTCCCATTGCTGGATTACCTGCTTTAGCACCTAATACTCCACCTATGATAGTTCCTGCCGTTTTCGCTACTGGTGCCAAAAAGTTTGCAATGGGTTTTATTACTTTCTGATGAACCCATCTTGCTGCTTTCTTAATTCCTTCCCATAATTTTTTAAAGAATCCTGCCGCCATTTCTGATTTAATATTAATTAAAAAATATATTTCATCACTTATATTCTAATTTTTATTTAATCATAAATGAAACCAATTTTAAAAATAAATGAAACAGAGGAGGAAGAAAGTGAAAATGTTCAACAAAAAATAAAGGTTGTTAAACCCATCACTGAAATAAAAATTTTTTCATCTGTTGAAGAATTTAATGACTATTATGCTAACAATAAAAAATTATTTGAAGAATTGACAACGTGTAAATTGAATAAAATGTTTAAAGTTGAGGACAGAGTCCAAGACCCAGAGGGTCATGGATTCAAAATTTCAAAAATAAAAGGAGTGGTTAGTTTGAAATCTATTCCTCAATCAAGAATCACCTCATTAATGAAAATAGATGATTTAACAAAAAGAATAGAAATTATTGAAGAGCGAATGAATCAAATTATTGATTTCATAAATTCAAATAATCATTAGTTTTTTAAAGTTTATTTTTTTATTTCATTATGGTAGTTTATTTTCATTCATGAAAATAATTATATCTAATTTCTTTTACTCTCTCATACATACTAGATTTAAAGAATTCAGAACTTTTACCATAATCTCCTAAATGTTTCTTATCCCTAACGTGTGCCAGTTATTATATGAAACTGAATAAACTTTATCTTTATCTTTACATCTTTCATCACTTCCAATATATTTATATCTCAGTTTTGATTTAGCATTTTCATAATCATTAACGTTTAATAATTCACAGTCTTCCTTTTTAAATTGATGTTTAAGATATTCAGGATTTAATACTCTACGTTTATATGCTCCTAACTTAGTTCTAAAGGTTTTTCTACAAAATTTAGGAATTCCATCCTCTTTAATGTCATCAATGATTTCCATTTCATTATTTCCATTTCTTCTTCTCGTTTATGAGGTCTTTGATTATGACTCCATTGATTCCATGAAATTAAATATTCTTTATCATTATATTTATACCTCATTAGCTTATTTTGGCTTTCATATTCATTTAATAATTCACAATCTTCATTTTTAAATTGAAGTTTAACCCATTCAGGATTTAAACAATGTTTAATTAATCGCGGAATATCTGACATCATCTATATATAGCTTCTTTTATAAAAGATAAAATAATAAATTATTTTAAAATTAATGTTAATTTTTTAATGATTTATAAATAAATATATTTTAATGCATCGTCTATATATAGATGTAACAAAAAAAGTCACACAACCCGCACTCATCTACTACTTTGAAAAACGATAAGAACTCTTATTTACGCAAAATGATTTATTATCTCTTAATGAATATCAAAGATATTTTATATGTTAATATACAAATTTGCTCATTTTAAAAATTATTAATGTCTGATCAAGACGTTCACCAAAGTGAATATGTCGAACTGCGAAGTAAGTTCAAATACTACATCGATTCATACAATGCATTATATCAGCTGAAAACTGACAAAGAAGAAGAATTAAACAAGATATACAAAATTATCAAAACAGAATTGATTGATTCAAGGAAATATCTACCTAACAAAATTATAAAAGACATTTTAAATATCATTCCATATAATAATCGCTATACAAAGTCATATTTATCTCTTGCAAAACTCATATTTGATGACTATAATGTCAAAGAGGTCGATAATGTTCATCATATTTCAAGCTTCTTGTTTTATAAAGAATATGGAATTAATTTAGACAAATTCGATGAATTCGAAAAAATTAACTCAGATTATTTGGATATTCATAAAGAAAATACAATTTACAGAGCAATTATGCATAATGACATAGAAAGATTCATCTTATTCACAGAAAGAGAAGGATTTAATAAAAATCAAAGGCTTGAAAGCAGATTATATCCGAATAATCTCTGGGGATATTCATTACTTGAATTATGCTGTTACTACGGAGCAGTTGATTGTTTCAAGTTCTTAAGAACTAAATTTAGCTCAGAAATAACTCAAAAATGTCTAGAATTTTCATTTTTAGGAGGAAATCCAGAGATCATGAGTGAATGTTTGAAATATCAAAAACCAAATAAAGATTGCATGGAATATGCAATTATTTCACACAACATTGATTTTGTTACATTCTTGATGAATGAATACAATATAGAGATCAATGTAAAATATTGCATAGATTATAATAATCTTGAATCATTTTTAGTTTATTTCGATCAAACTAATGATTTTAACGAATGTTTTCTTTATTCATCGATGTTTGATATTGCATCCCTTTGCGAATATTTCCTTTTACATGGTGTTGATATTAATGCAAAAAATAACAATGGGCAAACAGCTCTTCATTATTCAGCCTCTAATGATAGTATAGAAGCAACTAAATTTCTTATTTCACATGGTATAAATATCAATGAAAAAAATAATGGTGGTCAAACAGCTCTTCATTTTGCAGCAATGCACAATAGTAAAGAAACAGCTGAACTTCTTATTTCACATGGTATAAATATCAATGAAAAAAATAATGGTGGTCAAACAGCTCTTCATAATGCAGCACTTTATAATAGTAAAGAAACAGCCAAACTTCTTATTTCACATGGCGCAAATATCAATGAAAAAGATAATGATGGTCAAACCGCTCTATGTATTGCAGCACTTTATAATAGTAAAGAAATCGCAGAACATCTTATTTCACATGGTGCAAATATCAATGAAAAAGATAATTATGGAAAAACAGCTCTTCATTATGCGTCAAAAAATAATTATAAAGAAATCGCAGAACGTCTTATTTCACATGGTGCAAATATCAATGAAAAAGATAATTATGGAAAAACTGCTCTTCATTATGCGTCAAAAAATAATTATAAAGAAATCGCAGAACATCTTATTTCACATGGCGCAAATATCAATGAAAAAGATAATTATGGAAAACCGCTCTTCATTATGCGTCAAAAAATAATTATAAAGAAATCGCAGAACGTCTTATTTCACATGGTGCAAATATCAATGAAAAAGATAATTATGGAAAAACAGCTCTTCATTATGCGTCAAAAAATAATTATAAAGAAATCGCAGAACGTCTTATTTCACATGGCGCAAATATCAATGAAAAAGATAATTATGGAAAAACTGCTCTTCATGAAGCATCCAATAATAATATTAAAGAAATAGTCAAACTTCTTATTTCACATTGTGCAAATATCAATGAAAAAGATAAATATGAAAGAACTGCACTTCATTATGCAGCATATGGTAATAGTAAACGAACAGTCGAACTTCTTATTTCATATGGTATAAATATCAATGAAAAAGATAAATTTGGAAAAACCGCTCTTCATATTGCTGCAGATAAAGATAGTAAACGAACAGCTGAACTTCTTATTTTACATGGTATAAATATCAATGAAAAAGATAATTATGGGCAAACAGCTCTTCATATTGCTGCAGATAAAGATAGTAAACGAACAGCCAAACTTCTTATTTTACATGGTATAAATATCAATGAAAAAGATAATTATGGGCAAACAGCTCTTCATATTGCTGCAGATAAAGATAGTAAACGAACAGCCAAACTTCTTATTTTACATGGTATAAATATCAATGAAAAAGATAATTATGGGCAAACAGCTCTTCATATTGCTGCAGATAAAGATAGTAAACGAACAGCCAAACTTCTTATTTTACATGGTATAAATATCAATGAAAAAGATAATTATGGGCAAACAGCTCTTCATATTGCTGCAGATAAAGATAGTAAACGAACAGCCAAATTTCTTATTTTACATGGTATAAATATCAATGAAAAAGATAATTATGGGCAAACAGCTCTTCATATTGCTGCAGATAAAGATAGTAAACGAACAGCCAAACTTCTTATTTTACATGGTATAAATATCAATGAAAAAGATAATTATGGGCAAACAGCTCTTCATATTGCTGCAGATAAAGATAGTAAACGAACAGCCAAACTTCTTATTTTACATGGTATAAATATCAATGAAAAAGATAAATATGAAAGAACCGCTCTTCATAATGCTGTCTATGCTAATAGAATAGAAACAGCTAAATTTCTTATTTCACAAGGAGCAAATATCAATGAAAAAGATAAATTTGGAAAAAACGCTCTTCATTATGCATCAAAAAATAATTACAATGAAATCGCAGAACTTCTTATTTCACATGGCGCAGATGTCAATGAAAAAGATAATGATGGAAAAACTGCTCTTGATTATGCAGCAGATAACAACAATAAAGTAACATGTGAATATGATATAGAATTCTCCTGCTATTTTGATTTTTGATTATATCCATCTTTGGGAATGCAGTTTAAATTAATTAAAAACAAGTTATTTCGTGATTTTTATTTAAAAATTATTCACAATTTATACATAAAAAGTTCTGGAAATTTGAATACATACACACAACTTAAATTCTTACAATTCTGCTATTTATTTTTACAAAAACACCAAATTAAATACATATTGTTAAGCATTTCCCAATTTCTAAAATAGCTCTCCTGGAAAACAGTTCGCCATTCTGAAGAATTATATTTCAAAAGAGTTTAGAGTCAATATGTATTTAAGAGAATAGAGTTATTGAGCATGAAATACAAAATGTTGATATATTTGTTCCTACCTATCCTGATTTTGGTAAAAAAGTAAGTAATCAGAATATTGGTTGGAAAGTTGATAGTTATTGAATATGAATATTTGGAGAGTATAAAAAGCATGAAAAATATGTTGTATTTATGGAAAACGGTTTTTCACCCTTATGATCAGTTTCAGACACTTTGGGAGTCTCCCAAACTTTGATATTTTGTATTATGATAGAGAAACGTGTCTAGTTTAACGCACAGTTGTTTTAAAGGCAAATGATGATATCACATGAAATTATCAAATTATCAAATTTTGAAGTACCAGTCCAAAGGGTTAATTAGATCCTACACAGATGTGCAATAGTGAAACATATGTGTTCTTGATTTGAGAAGTCCTACTGATAGAGGTATGAATCTCACAGCTTTGTGTGAGTGTGTCTGACACTTGTATAGAGTGGAATATGCGCCGACATATATTATATAATAACATGTAGTTGATAATTATGAAAAAATAGAATTCGATGCGAATGATATTGAAAGTTGTTTTGTAATTTGATATTTTTCTTATATGTGTTAATTAGTAAATGGCTTGTTTGTTGTGATAGTACTGTGAAAAATGAAAGGTATTTTAAATTAAAAAATTGAGATTTTGAGATATCTCTAGAATTAAGAATTTATTATGTATTTGACTTTTATATAACTATGTGTAAAGGATCTCGATGTCTATATGCTTTAAATAAAATTAAATAAAATGAGATAAAAAATTAAAATGGACAAGAAGATATATGGAAATGTAATTTGTATTGTGTTGGTTGTTGGCAAAATGATTTTAATACAGATTTAAGGATTTGAAATGGATTTGAAATTAAATGATTTTAATTCAAGGAGTAATAAGATTTTGAACTGGTTTTTATTTTGTGAATGTAAACTTCTTCCATAGGATATGTATTAGAAAGATCAATGTCAAACTTTTTGAAAGAATTGTTTTTTTGTTGAGCGATTTTCTCATATTTAATAATATATTTAAGTTGGCGTATCTTACGCCCTTCCAAAAATATGTATTAGAAAGATAAATTTTAAACTTTTTGAAAGAATTGTTTTTTTGTTGAGTGATTTTCTCATATTTAATAATATATTTAAGTTGGCGTCTCTTACGCCCTTCCAAAAATATGTATTAGAAAGATAACTTATAATTTCATAAATTATTTTGTCCCGACGGTTTGAGCGGTTATCAGAATGGTTGCTTACACAATGCGTCAGCAAAATGTCGGTTGGGGTGCCCTTCTTGGCCTCCTGAGTACTCACCAAGATACCCCCCAGCTCCCGCAAAACACCTCCCTTAGGTGCGCATTACCTGACGGCATTATTTTGTAATTATTTCAAATTTTTTAGATGTCTTTTGTTAAAGTTTGTTAACTAAAGACTTGAAAACAGCTTACCGCTTCAAGCTGCTCTCTTCCGGTTCCTCTGCCGCAATCTTCTGTTTGATTGTGCGCAAAGCTCTCCTCCTTGTGAACTTTGCCTGACAGATACACCTGGGAGACAGCATTCGGACATCTTACCGCTTCAAGCTGCTCTCTTCCCGGTTCCTCTGCCGCAATCTTATGTCTGATTGTGCGCAAAGCTCTCCTCCTTGTGAACCATGGCTGATAGAAAGAACTGAAAGACAGGATAGGAGGAACATGCCGGTTCAAGTTAACTTGCAATATGCTTCTGATTAGTGATTTTAGATGAAAGATTAGCGAAATCGCATTTAATTTGGATAGAAGGATTCAATTTTATGAAGCAGGCTCGTAGAAAATATGCAGGAATAGCACAATCTTTTGTAATCACAACGCGATTGCAAAACTTCGACCGACAAGAGTGCACAATACACTCTTGTCGGTCTGCATGTCTCATTCCGGGAGACATTGTCACTGCATGTCTCCCAGAATGAGACAATCTTCTGCAATCAGAATGTGGTTGCAAAACTTTGACCGACAAGAGTGCACAATACACGTTTGTCGGTCAAACTTCCGCATTCAAGTTATGAATGCGGAAGATTGTCTCATTCTGGGAGACATGCAGTGACAATGTCTCCCGGAATGAGACATGCAGACCGACAAGAGTGCACAATACACCTTGTCGGTCAAACTTCCTAATACAAAATTTGATTCCCTTATTATTTCTTAACAAAACTTAAGATTTCAATAATACATCATGAAACATTCATTTACTACATTCACACTGTTATTCCTTTCTATCAATTAACTCATTTAATAGAATCTTGTTTTTATATCTTATTATTTTCTCATATTACTTCTAATTCCTCTATTTCCTCTTCCACATAAAATTTGATTTTGTAATACTATCATATACACTTAATGTTTTCAAATTTTCAGATTTAAATTTAATCTTTATTTTCATCATCATTTATAATCTTGTTCCTATATAAAGTTATAATAAATTATCGTCAGATTCTAATATTTATGATTCTTACTACTCAATTCAATATAATTATGTTAGTCACTCATATTCAGGAGAATAATTTAAAAATCTATAGCTCATATTTTGATAGTTATATATTTAGATGATATATATTGCAATTCCGGTTTCAACACGATCAAATGCCAAACCAAGACAAAATATATATGAATTTTCAAAATATCGATTTACATTAGAATCTATATCTAATTTTATCAATAACAAGTAGGAAATGTTCAATACATCTTTGAGCAACGTGAATAGCACAATTTTTAGGATTATTTGTTGATTATATAAAATATAAGCCAAATCGAATCTGCTGTATAGTACTTTAGTTTATCATTGAATGTTAAATGTGTTCATATAAATATTTGAGTCAGATATCGCATTTTCTAATTTCAAAATTTATCTCATGAAGTTAGAATTTATTTGATCATACAACATCATGTTAGTCAAACCAGAGTTCAATGGCGATTCTAAAATGGAACAAATGCTTGTTTTATCAAAATGTTAAAATATTAATCTAAAAAACTTAATATCTAACCAAACCATTCTAGAATTATTATATACAGGTATGGGCAATCTAAATGCACACGGAATTCGGAAAATTAAAAAGAATATTTATGAGATTATTAAATCTTATGTAATTCAATGAAAAGTAGATAATATGAATATCCATAGGCTATATATCAACATATGAGTTTTTGGTTTGACCAATACTATACTAATGTGATCAAATTAATCTGATTTCTTAGATTTTCATTTGAAGCATTTGCAGTAGTAGGGGTACCTTTATATATTAACATATTAAAAATTGCGCTCCGATTCGCAGTTTCTTCATGATTTTGAGATTGCGTTAGATTTCGCGATGCAGAAAAAAATCACTTTAGATTCCCGTCAAACTCTAAGTATAAGCATGTCTCTATATGTAGAAACTGTCTGCGCTATTTATTTCCCGGCTCAAAAAACCACGGTGTCTGTGTGAGGAAAATACCCATTTTAGGACCCTGGGTCATGAAAATTTTCCAAGAGTTGGAAATATAGGGTATATAAAAATATTAATATTTTAATTGGAATTTCCAAACAAGAAAAAAGTAATATTTTTGGATATTAGAGATGTTTAGCATATAACACGAGTTGTAATAAGGTGAAATTAAATTATTGAATAACATTCTTTATTTTTGACTGAAATTCTTTAAGATCATTAATAATTTCTGAAATATTTTCTTGATTATTAGGCACGCATCTTGAAGCAACACGTTCACAAGTGAATGTCCCGTTTAATTCATCAATTTTACCAGTATAGAGCCCTGCACTCATTAAATCAGTAATCAAATCTTCGGCTGAAATTGTGTTATCAATACCTAGATCTTCTTTTAACTGGTTAAATGAATATTCTATTTTATCTTGCATTATTGAGAGGATTGTAAGAGATTTTAGCTTATTTAATGCAATACTATCTGATTCGAATTGATATTCTTTAGGGAGATCTTTACGGATTGTTTCGTAATCATTTAAAGTTCCATAAGCAAAAATTTCCATCAATTTTCTCTCTGGAGAATTTTCGGGGAAGTCCTTGATATAGATATCCGTAAACCATATATCTTTATTGTTAAGAATAAGAGATGCGGAAGTATTTGACATAAATATGACACTTTTTCTGACTTGTAAATTACCAGTTTTTTTTTTTAAATAGCATTTTGAAGAATTGTTTATATAGATAAAGGAAAATAATCTTGTGATAAACCAAAAAAATAATGAGTTCCTCGATTTATCTTCTCCCCGAATTTCTTGGTGGAGGCGGAAATACACTTTTCCAAGATGCAGTTCAAGTTAGTGGTGATCCAATCCAAGTAAGTGGATATAAACTCTTTACTTTTCTTCGGAGATTAGATAATTCTGGATTTTCTACTTATTGTGTTGCCTTAGCCTGTCCAGGAAAAGAATGTATAATGTATCCAATCCAATTTACTCATGGTATTCCTGATTTTGATTCACTTGGATTTTTAATTACTCCATCACAACACGGAAATATTATACATATATCTCAGGCAACATTCGATGTCATGGATAAAGTCGATAAGGCAGTTGTTATTAAGTCAGGAGACTGGCTAAATGATAAAATTCGATTTCATCAAATTGCAGCAATGCACTATTTAGGCGTGGTTCCAAATTTATCACCAGCAAGCTTCTATCAAAACGATATGATGAAGTCATGGGAAAACAAATTGCACCAAATATACGGAACTTACGGAGATCTTAACAATGCTTTGATAGCTATATTTAAGAGAGTATCCTATTCACTAAACTTTTTCTGCATCTCTCTCGGAATACAAGTACTAGGAAATATCGTTCTAGACCATCAATTTTGTTTTGGAGCTTTATACGAACCATTACTTAAATCTCATGAGATTATATTCATTCGAAATACAGTTCCAGGCACTATTGAAGCCGAATCACCATTTACTGTACTCTACAACGCTCTGCGTATCACAAGAGAATGTTTTAATAATTTAAATTTCTCTGTTGCCTCATTAGACGACCAAAATGGCTATAACAATGCTGTACAAAGATTCCAAGAGTCTGTTAAGATACAAGTAGGCTGCTGCGACATAAAAACTCTCAGAAAATTAATGATTACTTCAAATATGCAAAAACTTGAACAATTACCTATTTTTAAGATGGCCGGTATCAACATAAACATCATCCATGAACCAGATTTCCCAATCATACAGCCAATAAGTAGACAAGAACAGGATCCTCTCGCTGAACAAGTTCGAAATGAAATAAATAGCGCAATTAACGGTCTTCCAGACCCAGCCACGAAGATTGAGTGGCTCAACTCAAGGATAGAAGGTATGTGCAACGAATGCAATGATAGATGCTTGGATATGAGTGCTAGAGTTGATTTAATTGAAAATCGTATCGCAGATATGTCAAGACAATTAAAAGATATAGTCGAAGAGTCAAAGATAGCAGCAAAGAGGGTAGAAACAGCTGCTACAACACTGGATAACGTTTACAATGCTCATAATAAGATTCAGAGCAAATTCGACATTTTAAGAGAGAAATTGTTTACAGAACAAAGAAATACACGCGTTACTCTTATTATTGGTGTTATTTTGACTCTTCTCGGCGCATTAATTCTTAGAATTTAATTTTTTTATAATTTTAATTTAATATTGTTTCATATATTCATCTTGTTTTATTAAACTAAATAATTTTGTTTGATTCTTATTTATCAAATTATCGAATTTAGTAAATTTTAATTGTATATCAGCTTCAATGTACAAATACCTTAGTTTTTTAATGTAGCTTACATATATGCTATTTATTTCAAAAACAACCAAAAATTTTTAAATGCAAATAATAACGAACTTAATTTCAACAGAACAGTCTGAAATTTATAGGAATAGTAGTACAAATAGTATACTTTATATGTGTTGGATATCAGACACATACTACTCATATTGGTAGATTTTTTCCTGATAAACATTAATCAAGGAATAAAAAAAATTTCACATGAACCTACAAACATCCGAAATACTATTGATTTAGTTTGATTAAATATGTGTAGAAATATGGTATTTAATGGTATATAGTTGAGTTTTATTGAACAGAAACGTATTTGTTCCAATATTCTGCGGAAGCACGGTATTTGGCCTCATCGATTGGTACAGAAGATCCACCATATTGTCTTCCAAGTGCATTTCTCATTGCAGTGATAGGCTGCATTGGAATTTCTCCTGGTTTATCCTGGCCTTTAATAGAGATAAGTCCCCAGTCCCAGTCTCCAGGCTGTAATTGGAGATTCATATCTTTGGCCTCTGCAACAAGCTGTTCATGATTATAAAAAATTAAATCAAGAACATTGGCCTTTGGAATGCCACCAGGAATATCCTGAGCGCATACCCAACGACATAATACTGGTAATTCATCATCACGACGTGCACAATAACCACTTTTAATAAGGGGTTCGATTTCTGGAGTAATTTTAACAGCATCAACGCAAGCATCAGTTGGATTTGGAATAAATATGTGTCTGCAGAATGGTGCATATCCTTCGACAGAGCATTTGTCAAATCCACCGTTCTCAGCGATATATTTACGAACATGTTCAATAAATTCATCCTTTGTCATGGTTGTAATACGAGCACCGTGATACTTTGGATTATCCCAGTGTCTATAACAAAATTCGTCTAATACAATCGACATTTGTCACTTTTCCATCAACATTTCGCGAATTTCTTAAATTTCCCTATTTTCATAAAAAATAGCTTTTAATTAAGGAGGAAATCCTAAATATAATTAAAAATCGATACCATATTTTTTTTTTCTAAAAAACAAAAAAGTGTCAGGCTCTGAATGATGAACAGTCAACACAAATTGATTGCCGATGAAATTATTAATGAGCTTTACAAGCATCCAATAACAACTTCGTTGCGAAAGATACCAGCTGGAAATGGCTCAGCAATTGATTTGGATACTATTAAACAGAAATTGAAACAAGATAAGTACCAAAATCTTGCATCTGTTTTCAACGATTTAGAAACTGTTTGGGCAGAATTAGTTAAACGTAATGGTGATGATGTTTCCTCAAAAATCGCATCAGAATGTAGAAAAATTCTTGGAAAGCTCAGGAACAAATATGACATTTCCGAACTTCCACAATGGTGTAATGTAGTTTATAAAGTCCGTGGTCTTCTAACAAATGTAATGACTCAACCCCCAGAAACTATCACACAAAATATTCCATCAATAGGCAAAGCAAGACCAATCAAGCCAAGCAAATCTGGCATGAGTGAACGTGAAATGTATAATTTCTTACAGGCTAGTGATATGATAAAGAAAGACGAAGATCATCGTGAAATGATTAGAATTGTAAACGAACTTCAGCCAGATATTGACTGTAGCACACAGGATGTTAATGTTAATATAAACGAGCTCAACGCTGAAACAGCCGAGGCTCTTAAGAACTATATGCGAACAGCTTTAGAAAAGCAAGGCTTGCGCTATCCCGAGTAGAGTATATTCTTATGTCTGCTTTATGTATTTGTGATAAATTTTATCTCCTTGATTTATTATTTAACGTTTTTTTGTTTATCTTATTTTTACATTCCTGGAAATCCATATGTTATACACATCTTGTTTCTTGAAAACAAGAAACCTTTAATCACCATATATTTTGGGAAAGAATTAAAATTCTAATACATTTTAATGATTGTTGAGATATATTTCTAATAAATTAGATTACATAAAAGTACCTACTCATAAATAACTTGGTCTTTATAGTTTTGACATCAAAAACTTTTTTTTATCATGACAAAGTTTTGGCTGGTTTTATTCAACATTCAATAAGCTTCAGATCATGTGGATTTTGAACTAGAATATATACGAGTACAATTATTTAATTATCACTCATTTGATCGTTAATAATAAGTATAAATGAACTTATATGCATTTTTTTATATAACATGTTTCCATAGTTTTATTAAAAAAGTGACAATAATGAAACCTGCAGAGATTTTTCATTCAGAAGAAAAAATAGATGAGCTGCGAGATCACTATAACAATACAGGTTTTGATATAAATGTTAAAACTCACCACGATGACGAAGCAGAAGCAAATAAAAAAACCGAATTTTTGAATATTTTCGAAAATTATATGAACACTCCAGTAGAAAATCTGCAAGAAATTACTGATTTGATATCGATGCTTACTAAATATATAGATTCTGACGCTGAATCATTACTAGAAGACGAAATAACACTATTTAATGAACAATTCTTTGAAAAAGCATTTATTTGCTTGAGTTTTCCAGATGAAGGAATTGCTGGTAAAACTCTCAAACTTCTTTATAATATGACAGTTTATTTAAGTAGTTTTAAAGAAATATTTCGTTATGTTGATCAGCAATTCATAGATCTTGCATTTGATATTCCCAATAGGTTTCCTAGGCTTATTATACCATCGCTCACGTTCATATATAATTTATTTTTTGTTTCATATGAAATTTTCGCACTTTCTCTAAATAGAATGGTTGATTTGATTGAAATGACAAAGAATGTTAATGACAAAGCGACATACAACAGTTCTGTTGAATACATGTACATTCTTATTAAGGATTTTCATAATGCAGTTGAATTTCCAGAAAATTTCTTATACGATTATTTATTATGGGCAACATTAAATGGAGTCAACATGATGAGAGTATATTCAACAGTTCAAATCGTTTTGGAAATTTATCATGATGGAATTGAAGTTTTTGTTCATGATTCTGCATTGATTGGCCAAATATTAGTCACATTAGCTGATGCTTCTCAACAATCTGCGTTTATACCTGCAATAACTATATTAATTTGGCTAATAGAAAAAACAGATTACATGACTACATCAATAATCATTGATGTAGTAAATCATTTAGATGAATTATTGCATGATTCGGGAGAAGCAACCGTAAAAGCTTGGGAATTAATGGAAATAATATCACAAAGATCACAATTTTTATCAAATGAACTTCTTGAGACAAATTTCGTTCAGAATGTTCTTGATGTGTTTATGTTCGAATCTAGCGTTCGCGCTGATGCTAAAATTAAAGCAGTTCGTGCTTTAATTAATTTCATTTTAGTTTTATCAGATGAACAACTTAATTTCTTGCCAATGGATTCCATACTTGAATTATTTGAAGAAGTAGAGACAGATTCCATTATTCCTGATGATTTACTCAATCAAGTTAAAATTAAGTTAACTCGCCAAAATTAATGATATAGTATTATTCACATTTACATGTAATGATAAATCCGCTTCTTTATTTGTGAATATTCCAATGTTTTATTTATTTTTGTTATTTGTTTTCTGAATTATAGATGTTTGCTCATAAATATTATATTTCTTAACTATGAACTGAAGTTTCTTATATATCTCATACAACAATTTTGTATGTTTTTTGTATTTATTGCATATCAAGTATTAATAAACTGTATAAATTTTCAATTCAGTAGTCAAGATCATTCCAAGCTAGTATACAGTCATATGATATGCAGTATTGGACTGAAAATGCATTGAATCTTTAATTCGACTATTTGTTCATTTTATTTTTAATATTAACGGCCAATTATGTGATAATTTTTTAAATTATATAAAATACATTGTATATCAAATATGAGCGAAGAAAATTGAAGCATTTATTTTTATTTATGTCTGAGGAATCTGAACACACTCTTCAAGAAAACGATGTTGTCTTGGTTTATTCAGATGAGCTCAAACAAGAAGTCGATGCAGTTGTTCTTGGCTTTAGGAAGTCAAACAAAGAAGCTTACATTCATTATATTAAACAAGACAAACGCTTAGACCACTGGATTGATGTATCAAAACTAAAATATAATCCAGATGGGCAAGGAAAACTTGAAGAACATATACTTTCGAGATTTCAACGGAATCAAATTGAGGATTCTGATTCAGAAGATGAATTACAAACAAAAGAATACATATTATTTGAAAAATTACATGGAGAAGTTACCAAAATACGCAATATTGATACAATTACTTTAGGTAAATATACCATAAAAACTTGGTATTTTTCGCCATACCCTCATCCTTTCTATAACATGGATCATTTTTACATTTGCGAACATTGCTTTAGCTATTTTGCAACAAAAGAACAACTAGACAAGCATATTCAGGAAACAAATGAAAAAACTCCACCAGGTAAAGAAATATATCGCGAAGGTAACATATCCATTTACGAATTAAAAGGTTGGCGTCAAAAAATTCCATGTCAATGCCTTTGTTTACTCTCAAAATTATTTTTGGACCATAAAACTCTTACATATGACGTTGATGGCTTCGTTTTCTACGTTCTTTGCGAATGTGATGACGATGGAGCTCATGTTGCTGCATACTATTCTCGCGAAACAGCTTCACAAAACAATATTCTTGCTTGTATCACAACATTACCGCCATATCAGAAGAAAGGATACGGCAGAATATTAATATCTTTATCATATGAAATTGCTAAGCGCCAATTTAAGGTTGGTGGACCAGAGAGACCACTATCAGATCTTGGTCGAAAGGCTTATCGTGCATACTGGCATGATACAATACTAGAAACATTAAGAGATCATAGAGATGAAATCAAAAGCGTAGAAAACTTATCAACTTTAACATCAATTCAAAACGATGATGTAATCATTGCTTTGAAGCAAATTGGACTTGCTGTTAAGGTCAAGGGTGAATATGAACTAAATATAACTCGAAATGCTTTGAATAATGCTCTGAAAAATTTTGATGCTTCAAAATGCAGAAATAAAATTAATCCTCAATTCTTAATCTGGCTCCCTGGTGATGATGATCAACATTAGGCTTTCATATTTTTTATAAAGTGTTAATTTATATTATTAATCAAAATATAATCTTCATTTTTTTATAATCACATGAATTTCTAGTTAATTTAGATGACCCCATCGACGTGTTAAAGAACATCACAAAAATGCCTAACGCATAGGTTTGGTTAAAATAATAATAATTAATAATTAATAATTAGTTGTATTTATTGATAAAAAAGAAAAGATGATAAAAGAGGATAGAATCCATGGATTAGCAATTAGGTTTTAATGGGTGCTCTTCTTATACATGGATCAAGGAATGAAACACAAAGACATTAAATTTGAAAGCTTTACAATTTTTCTAAATATTGTTGCATTTACACTTGTATGCTAAATCATCAAGTTTGAAGTCAAAAATCTAACCGTTTCAAAATTTGGTAAATTCATGGATGAATACAAAGATCCAATTGAAGATAATCCAGAAAAATCATCAAAAATAGCCTCTCCACAAGAAGGTGATATACAATCTGAAGAAGCTTTTTATAAAGCATTAGAAACTTTAAAAAACATTGACAATTTTGAAGATAAATCGTGTTTAGAGTTTTTCGAGAATTTAAAATGTATGATTCTAGATAAAGATTTTCATATTGATCCATCAATTTACGTTGATTCTGACTTTCTCTCGATAATGTTACAAATTTTGCTTGATGGAGTTTTTGGCATTCATTCTAACGTAATAGCAATTATTTGCGAGTTGTCAAAATATGACGAAGTATTAGAATTTCTCAATAACCCAGAATTTTTAAATTATTTTTATGGTTTTGCAACAAATGATGAAAATCCGTTAATTGATGTCAGAGAAATGATTCTAATTCTAGAGAGAATAATTCCTTTAGTTACTGAAGAAGCTGAAATTATAGGTCTCCCAATTGTTCAATTTTGTAAACTTAAATATCCAAATGATGTAATCCCATATTTTATGCAATTGATTGTATCACATCCAGACACAGAGGCTTTTCCGCTGATAATTGATTTTATTAACACGTATTGCACTTTAGATTCGGAAGCAGTTCATCTATTAACAACTATTTTAAAGAATGTTTTAACAAGCAACCCAACACAAGTCTTTTACGTTGTTGAGGAAGGAGATGAAGATAATTTTTTATTAAATCTCATAAATGCAACTTCTCGTGATGACTATGAGAGCTTAAATAACATATTGTCAATGTTTCACGAGCTATTGACCCGTAATTTCTATGAAGTCGAAGGATTATTTTCAGCTATTCTAGATTCTGACATTTTACAGACTGCATTTGGAATATTTCTAGAAGATGAATGCGATGAAGAATATAAATATGTTGCCGCAAGCTTTATTGAACATTGTATGTATAATGATCGATTAAGAGAGTATGTAATCGAAAATATTGATGAAGATACTTTTAACATTCTTCTAAATGGTGTTCATCAATGTCCTCATCAAATGACTAGATCTTTTATCGCTTTAATTTCATTTTATATCCAATATCACCAGTTTCCAGCAGCTCAGTCAGCAGTAGAAAGTGGAATACTCGAACTTATTGATGACTATATCGAAGTGAATGTACAAATAGCTATTCCTTGCCTTAATTCAATTTTTAAAACTTATATTCGGCAGGGACTTGCTAAAGAGATCGTTGACATCATTGAAAATACGGAAATTATGCAGGATTTGAATGATTATACAAGTGAAAATGAAAAGAATGAAGAAGTAGTTGCAAATTTTTTGGATGATTATGATAAACTCTGCAACGTTCTTGAGCAGAATTGATATTAGTAAAAATATTATTGTTTGTATTAAATTTTTTGGAAATGCACTTTTTACAGGCTCAAGATTTTATAAAAAATGTCTGCTGATCCAAGGCTTGCAAACGAAGAAGAGGAGGAAGATTTCAGTGAAGTCAATTGTACATTCGGTTTCTTCGATCCAGTACCAGCAGATGCTATGACAATTAGTGTATTTATGCCAAGATACGTCCCAATTAACAGACTTGAAGTTGCAAGAGCAATTGCATGTCAAAATCGTGTTGGCACTACAATTAAGGAGCAACTTGAAAATGGTATGCCAGGAGATAATTTCTTTGGCTTTAATTCAGTTCTTAATCTCGGTGTTTACAAAGATGTTTTACCAAGCTTTGATGCATTAATTAAATGACTTATTGGTCTTGGTAATCCAGTATTAACACAAGTTCTTACTCAAAACTTGAAAACTACTGGATGGATAATTAATGAACGCGCACGTGGTGTCCCAGATGGTTTAGCACCACATCTTATGTGTGGTCTTTTCAAAGAAATCATGTGGGCTACAGAAGATCTTGATACAGAGGAAGATCGCGCTTCATTCCGTTTCACACACTACATAATGATCAAGAAAGTTCCAATGACAGAAGATGGCTTGGTGTTTCAGAACATAGAAGACGAATTCTTCCACAAAGAATCCCCTGTTAAAGTTGAATTCCAAACTGGAGGCGAAGATGGTGATCTAGATGGCGTTGAATATCATCACATGGTCTTACTCTTTGATCCAGAGGTTGCAAAGAAAGTTCGCGCTCAGCTTAATGAAACGTTTATGATCGATGAGTCTATTTACGAAAATGAAGACACTAAATAAAGTTATTGTTTATTATTATGTGCATCATAGAGAATGTAAACATGAACAGATCGGAATTATAATTCCAAAGATTGTTTTTTCAATTTAAGTAGTATATGTGGACGGGTTTTGTGACTTTTTTTGTAAACGTAAGAATTCATACAATATTGAACGATTTTGTAAGTAATTTTCATACAATCGATAAAATAAATGTATGATTCTTACGCTTTTTATTCTTACGTTTTGAAATAAATCATGATTTAAAAATTTTCAGAATCGTAAGAAATTTTCACAAACCCTTTACATAATGAAGTAAAAAATAAAAAATTTAAAAAATAAATTTTAAAAATTCATGTCTTACATTTTTTGAATAATTTATTTTTTTATTTTGTATGAAATGAGTGTCACAACTAACAATGTTAAAAAAATAGGATTCACAAATGAGGAAATAAAGGATATATTAGAGGAGGCGGGTTATGAAGTTGATAAATATTATTTAAGAAATTGTAAAAAATTCGCAGAGTTTTTAAATGAGTTTGATTATGATGGAAAAATGAATAAAGATGATGTTATAAATTTCTTATATCCCACATCTGAAGAAGAAAAACCTAAAGAACCTGATGTTTTCCCTGAATATTATGAAGAACGGATTAAAGATGATGAATATGATGAAATTGAAAGACTGGAAAAAATAAGAGATGAAATAGATGAAAAAATTAAGGAATTAAGAGAAGTTGAAAAATATAATGAGAATGAAGTAGAGGGTTTAATGAATATCCCAGCTTCAGAATCAGAAGTTCAGAAATCTCATGAAGAAAGATATAAAAATTACTTTTTGGAATCTACTAAAAATTTATTAGATGGTGATATTGACGAAACACTTTCAGAAGAAGGTACTAAATTTATTCGTAAACATAAGCTTCAGTTTATTGACGATGAAGAATACCCCTGTATATTACTTTCACCTCCTCTTGATTCTGAAAAATTCAAAAAAGCATTGAAAAATGTAACATATGCAACAAATACGATTAAGAAAGAAGATCATGATATTTACACAAATTATTATTTAAATAAATGCACAGGTGTTGATAAAGTTTTTGATTTGTTAGATAAAATATCAAAAGAAACAATTGGTACATATAAAATTTTATGTGATTGTGGTTTCATTATTGAAGATACCAATAATGTTTCATATGAAAGAACAGCACCGAAGGAAGACGAAGTGGAAAGGTCTATACCATTCGTTATTAAGAATATAAAAGATATGAAAACTTATAAACATTATATTTATTCATTTATTTCAGAAAAAATGGAAGCAACCCATAAAACATCATCTCATCATTTTATAGCTATTCATACATTCCTTTTCAAAGTTGTGAAATTAAATAAGACAGGAATTAGATTTAATGTATCAGGGTATGCATTCTTGAGTAAATTAAAATGTATTCGTCACGTCGCAGATGATAAAAATTTATGTGTTCTTAATTCATTTTATGGACTTTAGCCCTGGACTTTAAAAAAAATAAACTTTATTTTTATTTATTTTTTAATTTTTATTCTTACATAAATGAACAAAAATGGAACAGCTAAAATGAATGATAATCAAATAAGAGCCGAAGGTAGAAGGTTATTTAAACGCTTCTATAACATTCCTGATGGTGTTAATCCTAAAACTCGTAGAAGTTATTTAAATGAAGCCATAGATGCATATGAAGGATTTGACATTTCATCAGAAAGTGAGAGGTTAGCAAGAATGTTAAACGTTAATATTGATTTTTATTATTGTGACCCTCAACCAGAAGACGTAGACATTAACAAGGTAGACTTTCCATTAGTGGAATCAATAATGATAGATCCAGAATTTGAAACAGTAAATATTTTATTAACACAGAGTCCATGTGGAAAACTTCACGCTGACAGAATAACAGACGTTGAAGCACTCACAGGATATAAAGTTTGCCCCTTTTGCAAAGAAGAAGTATATTCTATCCGTGATGATCCAGAAAGGAAAAACCAAAGAAGATTTTTAAAACATTGTGAGAAATGTAAAGAAAATAATGGAAGATTAATTCAAGACGTTCAATTGCAAAACACACAACAACCATATGCACCACATATCACGAAACAGAAGATATATCAATGGCTATTAGCACATAATTTGCAGGAATATTATAAACCAACAAGATATTATATTACTTTTGACTTCGAAACATTAGAGACTAAAGAAGAACTTCAACTTTCTGAATGTGCAACTTTGAATGCTTACTTAAAACCATTCATGGTATCATCAACTGTCAAAATAAAGCCGCAAAGCGGCGAGGTCGTAGACTGTGATAAAACATATACGAGGAATTTTTGCTTAACTTCAAGTGATTCTTTTATTTCTGATTGGATTGAGTTTTTATTTTCAACCTGTTCATTAGTTGCTAAATCAAATATTGAACAATATGAAGAATTAATGAAGTCACAAACATTAAATGAAAAACAGAAGGAAGTATTTAAAGAACTTCTAGATGAGGAATTCAATAAAGTGAATATCATAGGTTTTAATTCGGGAAAGTTTGATTTAAATTTAATTCTTCGTGATTTAAACACTGCAAAATGGAAAATAAAATCAATGCTGGGTTCATCTTCTCAATTTAAGCAAATCATTGTAAAGAAAACAAACGTTCCATATGAATTGAGATTTATTGACATCAGAAATTATATAGCGGGTGGGACATTAGACCAATTCACTCAAGATTTCGGAAACAATAAATCACGTGTTAAATCCTTTTTCCCTTATCAATTCATCACGTGGGAAAATTACGAAGAAGAATTATATAAAGAGGAACCATTCACGAAAGATTCATTTTATTCAGCATTAACTCAAGAAACTATATCAGATAGTGATTATCAAATATATCTCAATGATGCTAAAAATTTTAAGAATAGATTAGAATATTTTATTCATTATTGCAATAAAGATGTTGAAATTATGATTGACCCAATTGATAAAATTATTGAAGAAACATTTGTTTATAAAATTGACATGCTTCATAATCTTTCTTTATCATCGAATGCATCAATGATTCGTTACGCTTTAGCATATAAAGACTTTAATCCTAACGAAAAATATCCAGAAGAAGAAAATGTGGAATCAAGTTTTGAATTAACGAAAAAGTATTGGAAATATAAAATTGAATCATATAAGAAACAAGATGAAAAAGCAGAAAGGGATACTAAAAATAATGTTTCAATGGATGATTTTCAATACTATCACGATTTAATCCTTTCATCTAAATGCAAAATGTGTGGTAAAGCGTTTACATATGCAAATAAACCAACATTAGATAGAATCGATAATGAAAAACCACATACCAAAGAAAATTGTCAGTTAATGTGTTGTTATTGCAATGTCGTAAAATCAAATAAAGATGAGGATGTTCAACGTTTAAGAATCAATTTAAGAAATTATGCATTAAAAAATAATTTACCAATGACTTTAGATTCAGTTGAAGCTTATCACATTCTCCGTAATGGAATTACTGGTGGTCTATCAAATGTTCAACATCGTGTTAATCTTAAAGGAATCACACACATTAATAAACTTTCATATAGTCCAGAAACTAAAACTGTATCAAATGAGGACACCACCAACATCATGACTCATTTTGTTGGAGTTGACTTTAATTCATTATATCCTTCATCATTTTCATCTAATCCTCATGATTTCATTCAATATACTGACCATAAAATGTATATGCCGGGAAGATTGAATGGTGTTATCATTTGTGATACAGCAACAAAGAAAGCAAAAGCACTGGGAATAATTAGAAAGAAAAATACTTTATTCGTGGGTGAAGTAAAGGGTCACATTGATGAAAAATACATTAATGATTACATAAACTTTTTACCGATAATAAGAAACTTAGATATTATCACAGATGAAAAAACAATTGGCGTTTTATGTATAATTACATGAAATCAAACAATCTACCAGTTGACCAGAACAAGAAAATGAACTCAGTTAGCATCAACACACACCAATATCAACCATTTTCTTCTTATTATCTTTGGTATCTAATAGACAGATTTCATTTTATCATTGATGACATTCAATCAATTTTAACATTTACTAAAAACACTTGTTTTAATGATTTGCGAACGAATTTATGAACGAAAGACAAAAGGCGGAATTAGAAGGAAATAAAGGAAAAAGTTTATTTTGCAAGATTTCACTTAATGGATCATATGGTTACGATGCAATGAATACACAAAATTACGCAAAGACTAAAATAATGAATGCACAGAAGGCACGCGTTGCATGTATGTCAAATAAGTTTAAAAACATAAGAGAAATAGGTGAAGATACGTATCAAGTGATGCTTAAAGATAGATTTTATAGATGTGATACATGTTTACAAGAGGCATTCTTCACTTTAGATAATGCTAAATACTGGTATTTGGTTTTCATTTATGATTTTTGTATAAATGCATGGATGTTAATCGTTTTCATTTCATTGAAGGTGATACTGATTCATCTTTTGGGCAATCGCTGGTGATCCAAGTCTTCCTAACACTCAGCATTTCAAGCAATTGTAACCAATAAACAATTTTATGATAAAAACATTTACAAATTCGCACCTTTTGATTTCTTCTGTTTTGATGAGAAATTTAAACCTAAATTAAAGAATAAAGCTGAAGAAAAAGCACATGAGAAGAAGTTATTGGGTTTAGCAATTGAGAAACAAGGTGATAACATGGTTGCTTTATGCCCTAAGTGTTATACTTCATTCAACGGTTCAATTGATGGAAGTGATTTTAAAAAGATTGCACAAAAAATGAAAGGTGTTAGTTTACGACAAAATAAACAATTAACACTAAAAATTATTTGGATATAATAAATGATAAAGTGATATTTGATGGTCAGAATATTAATTTACAACTTAAAAACGGGTCAATGACTCGCTTAACAATTGGTAAGACTGCATTAACAGGAGCACACACTAAGGCTGTATGTTGTGAAAATGGATGTTGTATGCCATTTATTTAATGAAATGCCACAGAAGAGACAAAAGGAACCGTTAATAATGGTTTTGTACTATGATTCAAAGAGGTGGGCACCCTTAAAACATTTATTTTATTTTTATATAAATGGATAGCACAGATTTAAAAATTTTAATTGATGATTTAGTATTTAATCAAAATTTTCTTGATTATTATGATTTAAAAGCATATCTCCAAAAATATAATAAATATAACGGGTGATGATATGGATTATTATTATTCGTATTATAAAAATGAAATTTTGAAATATCATGATAAAATAATTTCTAAAATTAAAGACAAAATTAAAAATAATGAATATACAAAGGGAAAAACTAAATCACAACTTAAACAGTTGAAAGATTTCAAAAATAAAGTATTAACAGAAGAAGATATTGATGAATTATATAAATTATATAATCCGAGCCACAAAACACCCATGTCCTTCAGACCATAAATGATGCACAAGCTTTAATTTATGATTCATTAGTTAAACCATATTCAGCCCGACTTTTAAATGAAGATCAACTTTTGGAATTCATCCTTCAACATAAACTCGAAGCGGGAAAGTATATCAAACCTTTATATACAGCATATTTAAAACAAATGAATAGAATACATCCAGAATTAATGAAAGGAGGAATGAAATCCAAAATCAAAGCAGATAAAATTAAACCACTTACAACACCAAAACCTCCAACGACAGTAGTACCTCCTCCTTCAGTTAATCCTTCATCATTCACTTTATTATATCCATTTCAAACATTAAAGAAGCAAAAAGATTTTAAAAAGGATTTCAAGATATAGGGTGTCCAAAGGTGTGTTTAGCACAAACCTGAATACTGCGAATAGAAATAAACAAGTTACATATATATAAAGTTTATTTAAATATAATCACCATTGGATTCAATCACGCGTTCGCAGCGATCGATCCAGGCTTGAAAGACACGCTTTAAATCATCATGAGAAAATTGCTCAAATTGCTCTCTTACAAAATTTTCAAGATCATCTGGACTCGCGAATTCGCGTCCTTCAGCTCTCTTTTTTAGCGTGCCGAATAAATAAAAGTCAGAGGGTGCAATATCAGGTGAATAAATTGGGTTTGGAACAACTTTGACATTGTTTTCCACCAAGTAATTCATTACCTTATGACTTTTGTGAACTCTTGAATTATCAAAATGAATTGCAAACTTTTGTTTTTGTTGTTTGGATTTCTCAAACTCATCAGAATTGATAATTTGAGTAAGAACATTGTCAATTAGATACTGAGCATTCATCGTATTAGATTTTTGAAGAATATCAATTGCGATGATGCCATTCACGCCCAAAAAAACCGACAACATAATCATTGGTGTGTCAATTTTTTTCTTCGGGAATGTTTGCGGATTTTCATCCTTCGGGATCCACATGATTTTGGCTTCTGTTGCATATTGAAACCAAGACTCGTCCCCTGTTACTAAAAAGCGAAACTTCTTGGATTGATACGCACCCAATATAGAGAGGAGCTCTTTCGAAGATTGGACTCTAGATTTTTTTTGAACTGAATTAAGGTTGTGCGGAACCCAACGTGTATACGCTAGTTTGTAGTTCAAATAATTGTGCAGATAATAACTGACTGTTGTACGTGGTATCTTTGTCATCTCCTCTATCCTTCTGAGTGATGCTCTTGGGTCTTCATCTAGCGCTTGAAGAATTGCTTTGATTTTTCTTTGATCCGGCAATTTTTTGTCAATTTTTATGATGGGCGCCTTTTTGTTCATGAAGTGATACATCCTAACATGATACGTTACAGTGGAATAGCTAGGAGCATCCATACCGAAGCATTTTACCAATGTCTCGTAGATTTTTTTACAGTCTTTGCATTTTTTGCAAGAGCGAGGATGTTTTCTTTATGATTCATTAAAAAATGAAAAAAATCCCGCCAAAATTTTCCGCGAAACCGCCTCTTGTCTCAAAATTCATTTTATATCCCGGCATGGCGCCAAAATACAACTTACTCATCATATACATATATTCATATTTTTTATTATATATTTATAATCAGCATATATCTCCTTTAATAGTCTCATATAAAGCGCTGTGCTAAACGCACCTTTGGACACCCTATATTAAATAAACCAATTGACCCAAAAATTCAACCGTTAAAGGAAAAATTTAGTCGCCCTTCATTTGCACTATATCCATATTCATACGAAATCGATCATCTGGAATATTCAAAAGGAAACGTTACTTATTTATTTGCCATTAACATTAACACCAGATATTTATATTGCATTCCGGTGAAAGGGAAAACAGAACAGGAAACAAGAAGAGCTATTCAATACTTACTAGATCATGAAAGAGTAGATAATATAAGGGGTGATGGTGATAAAGGATTTCAGGCAGCTATGGCTCATTATTTC